TACTAACTACTGAATTACTAAATACTGAATTAGTAACTACTGAATTAATAACTACTGAATTACTAACTACTGAATTAATAACTACTGAATTACTAAATACTGAATTAGTAACGCTACTGGTTACTCTACTGAATGGTCTAATACAAACTTTCAGAGATTCAGATGTTCTTTATTTTCATTCGCACCACATGTGGTACATGTGGAACATGTGGTGGATCAAAATTATGTACACAGGGTCCCAGTTACATCCAACAATAACATGTAAAAGAAAAACTGATAACATCTAAGATATGAACTAAGAAAAACATCAACTAAATATACACTAAGCACTAATAGCATTAAAACAATACACCGAACAGCAGCACAAACATAAGTCTGTGTGAGTAGATGAGCATGAATGAACACATCAACACGAAACAGATCAGCAGCAACATGTGATTTTCACATTGATTATCCTGATTAGAGAGTCCTGAGTCTAACAGCCTCACGGTAGATGCTGTTCCTCACAACACAGCTAACACATTATGAACACATGAACTAGGCTAACAAGAACAGACTAATCACTAAAACAACAAGGCTAAACAGCTAACCAAAATGACTAAAAATGAACATACATTTTACCCATAATCCCTCTGAGACCACGTGACCAGCAGTCAGCCACAGCAGAATGCTACAATACGTACCAGTAACATACACAAGTACGTACAGTAAATGTTTTCTCTGAATTCTGAAACATAGCTGGTATATAAAAAAATATATAGTGGCCTACCAAAAAGTCATTGATCGCTATATTCATCTTCCTCTTGCGCGCTGCGCCCCCCCTCCCTGGGGGCACAACAGGGAGGGGAGGAGAGAACAGGGAGTGGGGAAAACTTTACTTCCTCATTGGTTCACACCCACCCATACTTGGTTTCACTGGTCCACTGTGACATGCTCATCAGATTTATTTTTTAATCTTTATGTATACAGGTAGTCTCATTGAGTCATGAAGACCCACTCCTCAAGAGAGTTGTATTGGGCAGCTATGTGTAGTATGCTAAAGGGTAGGTTAGCTTGGTGAGCTTCAGAGCTCCACTACAGTCATATTTTAATAACGGGTTCTCTCTTTTTCAAGTTACTTGACAGATATGTGACAGAGGTAGTGTTGTCGATGGTTTAATCAGTGACATGAGACGTTAATTTTCTTTGACCCATCAAAATAAATGTGGTCATTTATTAACAGAATCAAAATTTTACATCAAAACATTGTACACTTGATTATACTGATCGACTCTGATTAATTACTGGCAAGATAGAAGTTTAAAGATGGGAAATGAGGGAGTTTAAATGGAGAGAAAATGTGGAGGAAGAAAGCATGTTGACGAGGAATGGCACCCTTCATCCGACCCCAGCTCAGCCCCGGTACACTAGGTAGTGAGGCGACTCGTTACCTTTGCAGAAGATAGGTCAGCTCCGGTACGGAGTTCCATTTCAACGCTACCTTTCAGCGTCTCCTTAGGATGGCTGAGAATCGTCCGAAGTAGTGACGGTATTCCGTTCAACAACACGCTCACCTCCCGGGTAGGTACACAGCGAGCTGTGAGTCCGTCAGAGGTTCCCCTCAGATGTGGAAGGCTCCATAATCCCAACACGACTCAGAAGACTGAGTCTGAGAAAAACTCAGAAGAACTCCTAGAAACTCCAGCCGAACTCCATCAGAACCAGAAGAACTAACGGAACCAACGGAACTCAATGGAACTAGGAAGTGTCGACTTTTAAAGAGTTCTGCTTCTGGTCACTTTTAGGAAGTCCTGATTGGTTGAAGGAACCAACAGGGGTGTGGTTTTAGTGACGTCAGAGGGTCATTACAAGTCGAGAAAACATCAGAAATGTTTAGGAACGGTTAGTTACAGACGAGAAAATATTTTGGAGAAATGACAGACTTACAGGTGCCAGTTTTCTTGTTTCTGTCTGAGAGGTTTAAAAACACGACAGTTCGTTCCAATAAACTTGTTTTTGACTGTCTCCGACTTTTGACTGAAATCACTCCTTCTCATTTCAGACAGAAGATCAAAAAATGCATAATTACTTTGTAGAATAGACATTTAACTTGATTTCTACTTTGAATGAGGATTAAAAAATCATTAATACTGTTTCACAGTTGATTTAAAATGAGTGGTTCACTTCAACATTTAAAAATGGTATGAACTAAACACACTTTTGATTATCAAGACATTGTAAAATAGTAATGATAATATAAAAAGAGAATGTTCTTTCAATTGATTAGTTCAGGATACAATTAGAAAGTCTCTGGATGAGCTAATTTGTATTTCTGGATTCAAATCAATGAAATAACAGTTCCTGTCCCATGAAGGTCTTCAGAGGCAGGTTTTTGATCAGAGGCCTAGTTCACTACATATGTGAGCACGCGGGTGTGATGAAGCTACAAACCGGATTCCAAAAAAGTTGGGACACTAAACAGATTGTGAATAAAAACTGAATGCAATGATGTGGAGATGGCAAATGTCAATATTTTATTCGTAATATAACATAGATGACAGATCAAAAGTTTAATCAGAGTAAATGTAACATTTTAAAGGAAAAATATGTTGATTCAAAATTTCACAGTGTCAACAAATCCCCAAACAAGTTGGGACAAGTAGCAATAAGTGGCTGGAAAAAAGAAATTGAGCATATAACGAACAGCTGGAAGACCAATTAACAATATCAATCAACCTTTATTTATACAGGTAAATCCCATTGAGCCTCGAGGACTCATTTACAAGAGAGACCTGATTTCAACAAAGAAAGATGACAACAATGGACAACAGCAACAACAATAAACAGTTATTAAAAAAAAAAAAGCATACTAATTTTTTTATTTTTATTTTTATTTTTATTTTATTTTTTTTAACAAATAGGATGGCTAAAAGGAAAAGGTAACAAAACAAAAAAAAACAGCTAGATTCCAAGACAAATGTAGAAAACTAAAAACAGGAACATGTCAGCATTGGACCCTGCCAGGTGTCCAATGCTGACATGCAAGATTCTTAAAGACACTTAGAGAGGTCAAGGTCGAGAGCTTCAAATCTTTTTGTAAGATATTCCAGGAAACAGGAGCGGAATAGGAGAAGGCCCTTTTGCCTAGTTCAGTCCTCATTGAGGGAACACTGCAGGTAATAATGTCCTGAGAGCGCACTCCGTAGCTGCACTCACGCAGAGACAAGTAGGAGGAGATGTATGAAGGCAGCAGACCAAGAAGTGATTTAAAGATGAAAATATACCAGTGAGAGAGTCTGCGTGAAGTTAACGATGTCCAGTTAACCAGTGAATACAGGGTGCAGTGGTGGGTACGATAATCACAGCCAGTTATGAATCTTAGTGCACCATGATAGACAGCATCCAACATCTGCAGCATCCAACATCTGCAGCATCCAACATCTGCAGGGTTCTTGTAGGAGCGTTCATGTAAATAATATCACCATAATCAATGGAGGGAAGGAAAGTCACAGATACAAGGCGTTT